TGCACCCCAATGTTCATCGCAGCACTGTTTATAACAGCCAGGACATGGAAGCAACCCAGATGCCCATCAGCAGACGAATGGATGAGGAAGCTGTGGTACATATACACCATGTATTCCACATATTAAAAACATCATAAGATACTTGTTTTCTTTCTTACTTCACTTCCTTTGATAATCTAGGTCCATCCATGTTGCTGCAAGTGGCATTACTTTGTTCTTTTTTATGGCTAAGTAATATTTCATTGTATACATACACCATATCTTCTTACTCAAGCCTCTGTCAATGGACATGTACGTTGCTTCTGTTTCTTCCCTATTGTGAATAGTGCTGCAATCAACATTAGGGTGCAAGAATCTTTCCTTTTTTAAAAAAAAAAAAGACTTTAAACACAGCTCCCAGTACAGTTTAATAACAAGTGCCAAATGGGTTTTCAAAAAGGAGTTTTCCAAGTAAGGGTGGATAATGATCATTAGTACTTTGGAAGGTGCAGTGAAAGAGTTGCTTCTTAAGGGCTTCTTAATTTTTGGTCGAGCTGAGTCTTTGAGGCTGCTTGTGGGCTTTCTTTAGTTTCAGAGAGCAGGGGCTACTCTCTAGTTGAGGTGTGTGGGCTTCGCAATGTGGTGGCTCCTCTTGTTGAGGAGAACAGGCTCTAGGCACACGGACTTCAGCAGTTGTGGTACATGGACTTAGCTGCTCAGCAGCATGTGGAATCCTCCCGGGCCAGGGATCAAACCTGTGTCCCCTGGACAGGGGGACAGGAGGATTCTTATCCACTGTACCATAGGGACGCCCTGCATTATTTCTCTAATTCACTTTATATTGGAGTATAGCTGACTTCTAATGGCATGTTGGTTTCTGGTGCACAGCACAGTGAATCAGCCACACACACACACATATATGTATATCCACTCTCTTTTAGACTCCATTCCCATATCGGTCATTGCAGAGAACTGAGTAGAATTCTCTGTTACACAGTAAGTTCTTATCAGTTACCTATTTTGTATATAATCCTGAGTATATGTCAAACCAGTCTCCCAAGTTATCCTCCCCCACTTTCCCTCTAGGTAACCATAAGTTTGTTTTCTACATCTGTGACTCAATTACTGTTTCTAGATAGGTTTTTTGGTACCATTTTTTTTAGATTCCACGTATATGTGATACCATATATTTGCCTTTTCTATCTACCTTACTTCACTCAGTTTGACAATCCCAGGTCCATCTGTGTCAGTGCAAATGGCGTCACTTCATTCTCTTTTATGGCTGAGTAACTATCCATTGTATATATGTACCATATCTTTTTTATCCACTTCTCTATTGGTGGACATTTAGGTTGCTTCCATGTCATGGCTATTGTAAATAGTGCTGCAATAAACACTGGGGTGCATGTATCTTTTTGAATTATGGTTTTCTCCAGACATATGCATAGGAGAGGGATGGCTGGGTCATATGGAAACTCTATTTTTAGTATTTTTAAAGAACATCCATTCTATTCTCTATAGTGGCTGCACCATAGCAGCTACACCAATAGCGTAGGAGGGTTTCCTTTGGAGAGAGAGATTCTGATAGACTTGAGACTTTGAGCTGTGGTCCTGTGTGGGTTGGAGAGGAGAGATTCTATAGCTTGGATGTGGGAATCTCTGTAATTCTTAAAAGCAAAGCTGGGAGGAATCTTAGAAAAGCTAAGAGAGGAGGCTGCTTGGGGTCAGGTGATATATGTGAGGCTTGGAGGAGACCACAGAGTTCCAGTCTCTGCTCTTCCCTGATGGGGCCGCAGCCTGCAGGGTAGGCTACCTGGGAGGTGTGATCCAGGGGTGAGGTGGCGATCCTTCTCTTGAGTCAGAGAGTGAGACCTGGACTCTGCCCCCACAACTGTGGGAGAAATACAGGGATGTCTTTATCGTCTATCTGGGGTCTTGGCCTGTTGTCATCCTGTGGGGGTACGAGGCGATGAGGGAGGCCCTGGTGGATCAGGCCGAGGCGTTCTCTGGCCGAGGGCACGTCACCATCATTGACCCTGTCTTTCAGGGAACAGGTGAGTGGGGGACGAGGGTGAGGATTAGGGAGGGGAGGAGGGACCATCCTATGTGCCTTCAAAACCTTCCCTCCATGCCCCACCATCAGGTGTGGATTTTGCCAGTGGAAAGTCTTGGAAGGTTCTACAGCAATTCTCTGTGACCACCATGAAGGACTTTGGGATGGGGAAGCGGAGTATTGAGGAATGGCTCAAGGAGGAACCTCAGTGCCTGGTGGAGGAGCTTCAGAAATCCCAAGGTGAGTGTGGGCTGGGTGGAGGTGGGGATGAGATGGGGACAGGGAGGAGAGAAAGAGATGCAGAGACAGGTTCAGGAATAGAGAGAAGGGAACATAGACAGAAAAACAGAAAATGGTAGAGAGAGAGATGAAGTGAGACTAGCAGAGACAGAGAGAAACAGGCAGAGAAAGCAGCCAGAAGCACCAGAGACCAGAGACAGAGAGAAACAGGCAGAGAAAGCAGCCAGAAACACCAGAGACCAGAGACAGAGAGAAAACAAAAGACAGAGATACTGAGGACACTGGCAAAACGAACCCAGGAGTCGAAACTGCAAGAAAGAACCATACAAAGATAAAGGTAAAGAGAGACAGAGAGTCAAAGGAACACAGAATGTCAGTGAGGTCAAGGAGAGAGGTCATAAAGGTAGATGGGGAGATGGAGAGAGAACAAAGAAGGGGTGAGTCGGAAATAAAGAGTCAAAGATAAGACCAGAGAAAGTCAGCCCAAGACAGAGAGCAAGAAAAACTATAAGAGACACAGATGTGGACATTCCTAAAGAGAAAAAGGGAGACAGGAACAATGAAAGCAAAGAAAAATGGAGGAAAACCATCAAACAAGCTAGGCTGGCACCAGTCAGGTCAGTCTCCTAGAAAGGCAATGCAGGGGACCCCCATGACAGACCTCTCCTCCTCAGGGGCCTACCTGGATCCCCACTCCCTCTTTAACTCCATCACTGTGAACAACATCTCCTCCATTGTCTTCAGCAAGCACTTACCAGGATCCTCAATTATTACAGCTCCTACATTTAATGAATGAGGGCTCTGTCATTATCAGCTCCTTCTATACAAAGGTGAGGCTAAAGATTCCGTGGTGGGCCAGAAATCAGGATGGGTTGACCCTGGGAAGAGGTCAGATGCTTTCTGTCCTAATTACCAAAGGCAGAAGGCATTGAGAGATCAGTTTTATGTGCGCAGTCCAAGCCCTGACCCCACCCAGGTGAAGTCATCCGTCAGTTTCAGTGTCAGAATCAGGCCTTGGACAGGATGGGCTTCGAGAGAAGAAACCTCAGCAGATGAGGCAGTGACTGGGGCTGGATGCAGAGGTCCATGCAGCACTGTGTGTGTGTGTGTGTGTGTGTGTGTGTGTGTGTGTGTGTGTGTTCAGGTGGGAGGCACACCCTCAAAGTCTGCAGGGTAAATAATAGCCTTTGGTTGTTGCTACGTGTGTAGCTCAGAACATCAACACTCACAGAACCAGCCCAGTGAATACAATGGGTTCTGTGCCTTTTCTGCTGCCCTGTAGGTGTTTGAAATCTTCCCGGGCATCTTGAAACACTTTCCTGGCACACACACCCGCTTGTACAGCATGATTCAAGAAGTGAAAGATTTTATCACTGAGAACATGGAGAGGCACCAGAAGATGCTGGATCCCAGTGGCCCTAAGGACTTCATTGATTCCTTCCTGCTTCGCATGGACAAGGCAAGACCTGCCCCGGATGGGCGTTGGGGGTGGGAAACGGAGTGATGGAAACCGTATTGACATTGAACTAATATTTTTGGGTGTGATCACATGTTTTTTAAATGTTGAAATACTTCCTTAAGGATTAGCAAGAAAGCCAAGATCCACAGTCCCCCACCATTTTTTCCATTGCCTCCCCAAGCCTTCCTCCCAGCAACCTTTAAAGAGATGGTAATTAAGCAATTAACATGTGTGCAGTAAGCTTTCTCTGAGACACAGCTCGCTTCTTCCCCAGTTCTGACAGTCAAGTCTCTTCTGATAAGCCAGGCTCCACGAATATTCAGATTGATAGAGACCAATGTCTGCTTTGATTGGTGCAGGCCAATGTCTGTTCTGATTGGTGCAGGCCAACGTCTGTTCTGATTGATGCAGGCCAACGTCTGTTCTGATTGGTGCAGGCCAATGTCTGTTCTGATTGGCCTGGGGCACGTGCCATGTGCTGTGCTGTGTTTAGTGGCTCAGTCCTGTCCGACTGTTATGACTCCAAGGACTGCAGCCCACCAGGCTCCTCTGTCCATGGGGATTCTCCAGGCAAGAATATTGGAGTGGGATGCCATGCCCTCCTCCAGAGGGAATCTTCCCAACACAGCTCTCCAGCATTGCAGGCGGATTCTTTACTGGCTGAGCCACCGTGAAAGCCCAAGATTACTGGAGTGGGGAGCCTATCCCTTCCCCAGGGAATCTTCCTTACCCAGGAATCCAAGTAGGGTCTCCTGCATTGCAGGCAGATTCTTTACCAGCTGAGCTACCAGGGAAGCTTGGCAAGTGCCATACCAGTTGTTAAATGTCTTTATTCGCATCCCTGGAATGTCAGCTGCAAGGGCCACACAGGAGTGCAGTGACACCCAAAGACAGAAAAACAACAACACAAGAACAACAAAATCAACAATTTAAACTACATTCATTGAACTTGAAAGTTAAAGTGTTAGTCGTTCAGTTGTGTCCAACTCTTTGTGATCCAATGGACTGTAGCCTGCCAGGCTCCTCAGATTGGAATTCTCCAGGCAAGAATACTGGAGTGGGTTGCCATTTCCTTCTGCAGAGGATCTTCCTGACCCAGGTATCAAACCTGGGTCTCCCGCATTGCAGGCAGATTTTTAACCATCTGAGCTACTAGGGAAGCCCATTGAGCTTATTATACATTATATCACGACAACCCACATGATGAACTAAGCATAGAATTTGTATTTCTTGCACAAAGACACACAGTTAATACATGGTAGGACCTGAGTTTGAAATCCAAAGCTTTGGCTCCAGAGCTCACCCTTTTAGTATCTTACTGCCCTTGGCTAGAGAAAAACAGATCAGGAAAAAGAATGACAGGCACAGAGGAACATGGTGCTGTTAGAGAGGGAAGAAGACCCTGAAAAGTGAAATCTTCGCAAGGTGAGACATTAAGAGGCATCCATCCCTGTCTCTAGGAGCGCTCAGATCCTGAGAGTGAGTTTCACCAGAAAAATCTCATTAACATGGTGCTCTCACTGTTCATTGCTGGCACAGAGACCTCCAGCGCCACTCTCAGCTATGGGTTTCTACTCCTTCTTAAGATTCTCGATGTCTTTAGGTGAGCTGGGCTTATGGGAGGTGGGGACAATGGAGGGGTGAGTGTCCCTGAGGCCGTATGGGAAGGTGGTTGTCTGATGGACTAAGACAGATAACTTTTGTCTTGAGTAGTCTGAAAAATAAAAAATCACCGCTATTGGGACTTATAATAAAAGCACAAAGCATTTGAAGTGGATTTTGCCAGTCTATGAAAGTACATGCATGGTTCTTGACAGCTACTCTTTGAGGTTGTCTCTTTGAGTTTGACAAAAAACTTGACTTTTTGAAGTATATTGCCCATTTACAGCTAATTAAAGAGCTCCTCCATTCAAGTTAGTGGTCTGTAGATCAGACTTGGAGATGCTCTCATCTAGTCAGACACCGTTATTTCACAAGAATGAATTTAAGGCCAGAGTGGGGAATGACATATATAAAATTACACAGCATGTGAGTGGGACAAAAAGAGAAGACACCAGTTTTACCTGCAACTCATTTTTAGCTGAAAAGAAAAAAATACATCCTGAAGTGTTGAATGAATTTCCACCCACCCATCTTTATCCAAGTTATCCTCATGTTGTAACTAGAGTGGAAACATCACAGAAGACTTCCCTCAAAGAAGCTTCTAACTTCCTTTTTGATGCTTTCATTAAGAAGGAATGGTAGCCTACCATCTTTAGTAAAGAATTTACAAGATCCTCCCATCAGTCAGCAGGTCATTTTTAGGTCACTTGGTTGAGTCCACTGTTAGGGATATTTATTGACATACCCTCCTCCCACCCTAACCATTCTCAGAGGAAGTCCAGGCAGAAATCGACAGAATAATTGGTGCACACCGACTCCCAGCACTGGAAGATTGGGCAAATATCCCTTATACAGATGCCATCATCCATGAGATTCAGAGATTCAGTGGCTCTGTCCCACTTGGCCCTCCCCACTCTGTCATCAGGGACACTCACTTCCGGGGATATTATCTCCGAAAGGTGAGACCAGAAGGGCCACAGAATATTGATTGGAAGGTGTTGGCCACCTCCAGTCTTATGGTTCATGTCTGGTTCATGACTATAAGAAGAATTCTTATTTCCAGATTTTTGTGGGAGGGAGGGAGATTTTAGAAATAGAAAAGTCCTCTCCCTTTTGCTCTGTTGTATTTTGTTTTTTAACCTTTACAAGATGTTATGTTTGCTGAAAAAAGTACCATGTACTTATTGAAACTTGTTATACAGTTGGCTGGTTTTATAATCTGTGTTATAATCTCTCCTTTATATGAACCCATATGTTTATATATACCTATATACACAATGATTGGTCCCTGCTGCATCTGTTACTGTGCAATTTATGTGTCCAGCGTTCATGTCACCTTCACCTCTGGTCTTTATGTCCATATCGATACAATTTGCAATTTGTGTGTGTGGCTTTCATTTTGAAATATAACAATACTCTGTATATATATTTTTCAGGTCAATGCCTATGTTCTAACTCTTATCTTTGTCCTTGATTATGTTGCTGTGTATTGGTGTTTCTAGGTGTATCACCTAGATATCTAGGTGATCAGGTGCATCTAGATACACCTGATATTGGTGTATCAAGTTGATATAATGTATCAGTTTGCCCAATGAACAGCACCCATCCGATTATTTTCGGGCCTCAATCCTGGAGTCAGCTTCTTATAGGGCTCTGTTGAGTCAGATGTGAACCTTTCAGTCGACAGATCATAAAGAAGACCCAGGGGTCTTGGGGATGAGGAATCAGGGTGGTTGGTGAGGATACCTGGAGGGATGGGACACTATAGACCAAGTAGGGCAGAATTACTTCAACATTCCTGCCACCAACTGTAGAGCCACACAGTAGGTGAAGCTCCTTATCTGCTGAGGATTCAGACGCTCTTTGTTGAAGGCCATTTGGGCCCATTTGTCTTTGATGTCCTTTTAGGGCATTACTGTGTACCCCATCCTGAGCTCTGCCCTCCATGACCCATGCCACTTTGAGAAGCCAGATGCCTTCTACCCTGGCCACTTCCTGGATGTGCAGGGCAAGTCCCAGAAGCCACAAGTCTTCATTCCATTCTCCATAAGTGAGTCACGCTCTTTCTCCCCCATGGCGATGTCTGCTCACTCCCACTCTGTATGCGACTCTCTCTCTTGATCCAACTCCAAACCCTGTGTGAACAGTTTGGGAAAAGACGAGGAGTCTAAAGGAAAGAGAAAGCAAGACATCTTCAGAGATAAGAATAGTGTGAGGGGGGAGGATAGGGATGAGGTATGATGGGGAAGGGAGACAGAGACTCAGTCAGTGACAGAGATAAACTGAGAGACAGAAAAACATACTGGCACACAGAGGACAGACAAATAAATGATCCAGTATTGAGCACCTGTTATGTGGCAAGAATGGGGAATGCTTTTACATTACAATTTACAATTTTTCTTTCAAAATTAAATAAAGACATTTCTCTCATTTTTATACAAAAATGAAGTATGAAGTAAAAGTGAAAATCATCTGTAATTCACCACTACACCTGACCTATTATTAGTACTACAGAGGATGTCTTTAATGGTTATATTAATATTTGCTTACACACAAAGTTAGGTGGTGGATAGGTAAATAGATAATAGGTAGGTAAGTTAATTAAAAGTAACAAGAAAGGAAGGGAACAGAACAGAAGAAAAAGAACGAAAACTCCTTAATTTGTTTCTTGTTAGCTGATTTCATATTTAAAAATACAAGTAAGACTAGAGTGAGACATATGAGACACTTACAGCACAGAAATGTAAGGAATATTCAGTCCTAGGTTAACCCTGATTCAATATGCATTCCTAGGGTTATTCTGTTATCGTCACTTACGAAATAATTCAGTTTTAGCCACTGACTTGAAATTCATCATATTTGAAGGGGCTATTCTCCTCAGGTCTATTCCTGTTTTGGGGCTCTTTTTTTTTTGTAATAATCCATATCCACACTGATTCTCTAATCTGTCTTTTGCAGCTATATAATATTCTTTGAATTATTAATATTATACCTATACTTATATTTTAATATTTTCCAGGGGACATTACTCTTCCTTTATTTTTTGTAACACATTTTATTTTTCTTGATTGTATCTTAGAATTATTTTGCCAAAGTCCCAAAATATCCCATTGGGATTCTACTTGGATTAACCTAAATTTGTATTTCGATTCTGATGCTTTGCCAAATCTCCATTTTTGATAGTAATGGTTTAGTCGCTAAATCATGTCTGACTCTTGCAACCCTATGGACTGTAGCCTGCAAGGTATGGACTGTAGCCTGCAAGGCTCCTCTGTCCATGGGATTCTCCAGGCAAGAAGACTGGAGTGGATTGCCATGCCATTCTCCAGATCTTCCCGACCCAGGACCCAGGGATCTAACAGGTGTCTCTTATGTTTCCTGCATTGGCAGATGGATTCTTTACTACGAGCACCACCTGAAGCCCATTTTTTATATGTCCTAGATCAAAGATAGTGTGTTCATTTAGTCCTTGTACCACTGGTGGCATCTTGAGCTTTTTTAAAAGTAGGTTTTGCATATTTTTCGCTAAATTTATTCCTAAGAAACATGGGAGAAGATTGTGGTTATTGTTTGTAGGACCTCTTTGTCAGCTCAGCTGTGGACTGCCATAACAAAATGCTGTAGACTGGGTGGCTTAAACAAAAGAAATTTATTTTCTCACAGTTCTGGAAGCCACAAGTCTGCAATCAGGGAGCCAGCATGGTCAGGTTCTTGTGAGGTCTCTCTTCCTGGTTTGCACACGGCCGCTATCTTGCTGTGGACTCGCATGCAGCTTATGGACCATGGTCTCACTTCTTCTTCTAAGAACATTCTCCTCTCAGGGAGACCCCACCCTAATGAGCTAATTTAAACCTAATTACCTCCCAGATCCCTTCTTAAAATACCACCGTGGGCATTAGGACTGCAACGTATAAATTTTGGGAGGACAGACTTCAGTCCAGAGCACTCGCCTAAAGGCGTTTCAAATTGTTTTACTAAGTATATCAGAAGTCCACTCATCTTTTGGGGCATATATTTCTGTCATAATTGAACAAATTCCATATATTACTTTTATACCTAACAATGTTTCATTTATTTTCTTGGATTTTCCTAATAACTGATGTTAGCAGCTGTAAATGATGATGTTTTGACTTAATTGTTTCTTATGTTAAAGTCACATGTCATGTTTTCCCTAATATCAAGGGCTAGCACTTCTGGAATCATGTGAAGCAATAGCACTGAGAGTGAGCAATCTTGTCCAAGTCCTAACTTTAAGGAGAATATTTTTATTTTCTCTATGAAGCTGAATGCTGACTATTGCCTATTCCAGATATTTTATGGCTACTCTACCATATATTTTTCTCAACTGTAAATCAAACTAAGGAAATTTTTTTCTCCATATTTTACAGTAAATTCTTTTTAAATTTTTAACCAAGATATTACACTGAGTAGTCTCAATAATCTTTTCAGCTCTTGTCAAGAGGATCAAATTGTCTTCCTCCTTTGATTGCTTAAAAAATAGTCGATGTCTCAGTGTTGAATCATTCTCTGTTGTAGAAGCAGAACAAGAGAGGCTGTGGGAGTGGGCAGGTTACTTGCTCAAGGCGTGGTAGGAAGTCATGTTCTGTGGAGGTCAGGGCAGGGCTAAGCTGTGATAAACAGTCTGAACATCTCAACAACTTAAAATTAAAAGGTTATTATTTTCCTGTTCATGCAATATGCCCACCCCTGACCTTAACAGTCATGTAGAAATGAGGGCTAATAGGGACTCTCTCCTGACATATGAAGAAACAGGGAAAAATGCATGACATGCCTAAGTTTAGACCTCATTTCACC